TTTCTCATTATCATCTCATCAACCTTGTTTCAATGAATCAAAAGTGTTTACACAAAGTGTAACAGTTTCTATGAGTTACCAAATAAATAAGATAGAGAGAGACAGAAAGAGAGAGACAGACAGATGTAGGTGGATCGACCAGTGTTTTCATAAAGATACTTCATGGACAATCCTAGTGGTTTAGCATGTTTTAGCTAAGTGGCAACGTCAGTGGCTGATAAATGTAGCCAACAAGGAAGTGCCAAAAACTGTAGTTCCTCTAACAGCTACTTGATGCTGGCTCCAAAAGTGAGTCATATTAATATTCATATAATTTATAGGAGAAATAAAAACATGTTTACAGCCTGGTTCAAAAAGTTTTGGTCTCTATAAATTTACCCCATCCATGACAACTGTACTGTGTGTCATTTTTATATAACTACCCCGTTTAAATGATATCAAGGATTAAAGTTATGCTTAATTAAAAGCGTGGCCGCTGTGAGTGACAGGTGGCTGTTTTCAGTAACCAGGCTTCATCCAGCCTGCATCAGCTCCACCCTAGGTCCGCGCATTGACCCATTTTTGGATCAGCTGGAAGCCAAGACTGACAAGAAGGCGACGGCCAGAGCCGACCACACTAAGCTTTACAGTGGCTCTTCAGAAACCTATGGGTGATGTCACAGAGACTTTATGGATACCCTCTTTTCCAGGCAGCCACAATTAACTTGAATTGCATTACTACATGATAGTGTAACAAAAAACAATAGGGGCAGATTGCTCACTATGATGAATTATGTATTTCAGATATGTTTTAGGTCTCTAACAGTTGATTTTGACAGCGTACTTAATGAAACAAAAACTAGTGACCAGGGAGTTAGTGAATGGCTGTCTGTATAAACCACTGGTGTTGTAGTTTGCCTTAAGCCAAAGAAAGTTGAACCTAATCAAAAAAAGCAAAACTCTTCATCATATACACTGCATAAACGTAGTGTAAATTTGTTTTGTTCGTGCATTCACACTACTTACTAGTGGAGAGGTGCATGATGGTCAGAAATCAGCTGTACCAACTGGAAACCAATACAGGTGAGAGAAACTATGAGGTGTTGACCTCCTAATACAAGAAAGAGATAAAAGGTAATCAACCAGACTGACTGGCATGGCTTAACTTTAACTGGTTTGGTCTAGCGTCCACAATAGATATACCTTGACACCTCAGCCTCTTCTGGGGATTCAGGTTGTGCCTGACAACCCATTACAGCTACTGTATTCGTCTTTATACCCACTGTCTTGTGTCATCCTTCTTTTGACATCCTGGCTGAGCTGACTGACAGGTGACAGCAGGTTAATGACCACTGCAGACCCTCTTTTGTCCACGAAGTAAGTGACAGTGGGTTGCCAGGTCGCTTTCGTGGTCTGTGAATTTAGAGGAACAATCCATTCTACGAAGAGGCCCACTAATATATTACTGTCGTTTTTATTACTTCTGAGACACAGCAGGTATGCAGTTAAGCTCTGGCTGTAGGCTGTAGGCTGTGATAGCTAGTTCTCTATCAAGGGACAGTACTCGTCCTGGAGATACTCATTTAAAAATGTGGCTTTCCAGTAGTGACATTAATCATAATGATGATGATGTGAATGGATAATATATCACATTGCTGCAGTCTAATTGCCCTCTTTATGTTTCTAGTCCTCTCCACAGATAAGCTGATGCCACCTCACATGGCTGCTGTAGACAGTGTTGCAGAGGGAGGAAGAGAGAAGGCTTTGCTGCTTTTAATAGCCTCGAAATGGCACTGTGGATCAGCTACCTCACTAGTTTCCTAAAAGATCTCCAGAAAATAAGAGTTTCGTAACAGAAGGGGAAAAAAGGTTCAACAGCTCTCAGACTATAATGAAAGCCTCACTCACACAGCAGCTAAAACCAGCAACCTGTGAGAGCAATGTGATGGGGAGAGCCCGCAATACCCAACAGGGTGAGCCACCTACACTGCCAGGGTTCAAGCTTAAAATCCCACTGTTACCACCTATGTGTAATATGTACAAACCTATATAAAAATGACTACCAAAAAACCTTTAGGCCCTAGACAGAAACTCAGTATTAACTGATGAGAACAATCTTCCCTCTATGTTCTCCTTTCAACTCAATTTATACAATTCCCTTTTAAACATTTTAGACCTTCTGAACAGGTCATAAGCAAATCCTTCTGTGCTAATACTTCTGAAAATGATGTCTAGTAGAGGAGAGATGTACCTCAGCTGGAGGCACTGGCTCTGCAAAGAACAGCCATTTCAGTGGCCAAAGGTCACTGTGAATCATCTCCAATTATTAACATAACATCCTGAGTATGATATAAAGACTGAAGACTCAAGAGAACTTTAATGTCAACCCGTCCATATAAAAGTACACAGTAGGGATGAAATTAATTTCTCTGGGGACAATGGTGCCACATTTAACATTCAAGCAGTGAAAAACAAGCTCCCAAAATAAAAACAAGTGCAAATCACAGAGGAAAATGTGCGGCGTGAATATTGTGAAATTTCTAAACATTGACTCTTGAGGTTGTGGAGAGTAGCTGCCATAAAGTGATTGTGTGCATTTTAAATATTTAAAATAGTTTCTGTGAGGATAAAAGTGTTTATTTTTTAAAGTAGCTTCTACTTTCTGCGTGCTTATTTTGCAGGAATTGTGTGCATTTGCACTCTCATAAGGACACATTTAAAAAAAAAAAAAAAAATGTTCTCTGGAACTCTGGAACTTTTTGGTCTTAACTCTCCACACTGGACCAAAATAAAAACACTCATTGAGAGTGGAGGAAACAAACTTGAAGTGAGGTCAGTAAATGGTGTGTGATATGAATAGTGAATGAAGTTCTGTCTCCCGAGCAGCTAGAGAGACACACTCAAGTCACACACACACACACACGCACGCACAGGGCGACAAACACTTACTTTCCTAAGGAGAGGGTGAGCACCTCAACCCTGCATCAGAGCACTTGTTTTTTCATACCCTTCAGTCCGCACAAGCACACGAACTGAGATGGATTGCTGCTGGGCGCCATGGCAACCAGTGGGGCTATTCTCCGTCACTGTGGCTGAGGGACGGAGAAAAAGAGGAAGAGAGTTAATCAACAACACACATTTCCATTCCGCCTTAACTCGGTGCCAAGCTATGTACACACGCACACACACACAC